TAGAAGTGGGTTGTTGTAGGTTTTTCCGGGCTATATGGCCATGTTCTGGAGGGTTTCCGGGCCATATAGCCCGGAAAAAACTACAACAACCCAGTGATTCCAGCCATGAAAGCCTTCGACAATACATTGAACACATAGAAGGCTACAGGTCTCGGCCCAACTACTTTTCCCAACCTATGGAATTAATGTAATTTATCTTTGACTTACCATTCGGCAATTAATTAAATGGCTCTCCTTTAGATACAATGAAAAATAGGATTTGGGTTGTATTTCCATTCCCCAGCATTCTATCTATTATGCCGAAACCAAGAATCCATAATGGAAATGAAGCTTTGCTTTTTAATTTCTGGGTTCACTTTTAGCATCCACGCCAATAGTGCCCCCAAGCATGTTTCTTTGCTTTCTCCCACCAGAAGGAATGCCAGCTATATGCTTATGTGGCAGAAAATTAAGTCTTGCAGCTGGAGATCAGCTTATGAGAACAAAGCCCACCTCTGTAATATTGATACCAGCATAGGGAGGAGGGAGCAGGCTTGTTTTTTGCTGCCCTGGAGACTAGGATGCGGAACAATGGCTTCAAACTACAGGAAAGGAGATTCCACCTGAACATTAGGAAGAACTTCCTGGCTGTGAGAGGAGTTCAGCAGTGGAACTCTCTGCCCTGGAATGTGGTGGAGGCTCCTTCTTTGGAAGCTTTTAAGTAGAGGCTGGATGGCTATCTGTCAGGGGTGCTTTGAATGTAATTTTCCTGCTCCTTGGACTGGATGGCACACAAGGTCTCTTTCAACTCTGTGATTCTATGATTCTAATTTTGCAATGTATGAAACAGAAATCTTCCTGCAAGCTTTAAAACAGGCCTGTGACAACCTATCGCTCTTCAGGCATTTGGGACTCTAACCGGAAACCCTAGCCGATTTATTCAATTTTTAGGAATTCTGGGAACTGAAGTCCAAAGCACCTGGAGGGCCACAAGTTGTGCAAGCCAGCTTTAAAACTGAATTTGTTTGTGTCTTACATGTGCTTATATAATGTTTATGTTTTGCACATTTTTAAAAATAAACCATTGTGTAGAAGATGGTATAAAAGTAGCATTCGAAATAAATGCTTCTGGAACAGGACAATTGATCTTTCGCCCCAATACTATTTTAATGTAAACTCCCTTCAAGATTTTGAACACAGCCTTTCTTTTGGTCAATTAAAGCGGGTTTTTCCCCATCTGGACTTGCCAGTGATTGAACCTGGCTATAAAGAATCTGGAACTTACTGCATGCCTTTCCACAAATTTATATCCCTCTCCTTCCTTACACAAATAAAAATTAACCCAAATTTTTATTAGATTCTTATTGTGTGGGTGTATGTGTATGTTTGATTGATTTGGATTGATTACTTTCTATTTAACTATTTGAATATCTTGTTTTGTTGTTTTAAGCTAAAGGTTTTCCCTTGATATTAAGTCTAGTCGTGTCCAACTCTGGGGAGTGGTGCTCATCTCCATTTCTAAGTTGAAGAGCCTGCATTATCTATAGACGCCTCCAAGGTCATGTGGCTGGCATGACTGCATGGAGCGCCGTTATCTTCCCGCCGGAGTGGTGCCTTTTGATCTACTCACATTTACATGTTTTCGAACTGCTAGGTTGGTAGAAGCTGGGGCTATCTGCGGGAGCTCACCCCACTCCCTGGATATGAACCACCAACTTTTCAGTCAGCAAGTTTAGCGGCTCAGTGGTTTAACCTGCTGTGCCACCTGGGGGCTCCATTATTATTATTATTATTATTATTATTATTATTGTGTGTGTGTGTATATATATATATCTATATCTATATCTATATCTATATATCTATATCTATATCTATCTATCTATCTATCTATCTATCTATCTATATATATATATATATATATATATATATATGCATTGAGTATTTTTTACCCTGATTAATGTATAAATGTGTTTAGAGGTAGCCTATTGTTACAGTAATACTAGAATCAAGGAATCTTCACTTTTAAGTAGAGGCTGGATGGCCATCTGTCATGGGTGCTTTGAATGCGATTTTCCTGCTTCTTGGCAGGTGGTTGGACTGGATGGCTCATGAGGTCTCTTCCAACTCTATGATTTTATGATTCACACACACACACAAACACTATACATTTACAAAACTCACGGAAGCTAATGTAATCTCCGGGTTTGAGCATTGGACTACAACTCGAGAGACCAGGGATCAAATCCCTGTACAGCCATGGAAACCCACTGGTTGACCTTGAGCGAACCACTCTTAGGTCTCTTCTCAACTGCCATGTAAACCCAGATTATCTGCTTTGAACTGGATTATGTGGCAGTGTAGACTCATATAATCCAGTTCAAAGCAGAAAGTGTGGATTATTTGCTTTGATAATTAGGATTATATGACAGCATAGAAGGGGCCTTAGAAAAGGACAACAGCAAACCTCTTGCCAAAAAAACCTTGATAAGTTGGCCTTTAGGTCACCATAGGTAGGGAACAAAGGCACACACCAAGAAAAGCAAGCCTCTCCAAAGATTACGGGATTTATATCTGAGGAGAGCTGTATAGGCTTGCACTACAAATTATGGCACTTATGCAAAGCAGAAGGGTGTGGGAGATAGACTTTGAAGTACTGAGAGACGGCAGTTCCTTCTTGTCTCCACGCTCCAAAGGATGCATTCACACTGCAGAATTCAGTTTGGCGTTACTTTAACAGCCATGGCTCCATGCTATGGAATCATGGAGTTTGTAGTTTGGTGAGGCACTAGCACTCTTTGGCAGAGATGCCAAAAACTTTGTAAAACTACAACTGCCATGATTCCATAGCATGGAGCCATGGCAGCTAAAGCGGTGTTGAACTGCTTTCATTCAACAGTTTTAAGGACATCCCAAGAAGAGATAATGGGTGCTGCCTGCACTTAGGAGAAAGGCTCCAGGCAGAGAATCCCAAGGCCCCTTCTATATAGCCATATATACAAACAATCTACTTTGAACTGGATTATATGAGTCTATACTGCTATATAATCCAGTTCAAAGCAGATAATATGGATTTTATATGGCAGTGTAGATGGGGCCTTGGTTTTCTCTCAGCTGAGAGACAAGAAATGGGAGAAAACAAAGACAAAGTCTTGCTGGAGGCAGAGTTCAAGGGTGATTTCCTGTCAGCGTGCCTTTCCTCTGAGGAGAGTCTCAACATCTCTTCTTCAGAGGTTGGCTTGAAAAAGTTCCTTTCCCCCCTTTTACTACCATTCCTTGAACCTCAATACACCACTGGTCTTGACTGCCTGAGTTGTAGGTGTGTTTGGGGGGTTGTATTCTTTAAATACACATGCACACACATTTCTAAGAGGGCAGAACCCAAAGCCACAGCTGAGTGTGCCAAAAGGATCCTGTAGTAGCCATTCCTAGTGGCATACACCTTATTATTCCTGGTGACATCACCCTTTCTAGACTTAAGGATGCATTTGAAGATGTAGACTTCAATCTAGGAAAGCTGATGCTACTAAGGGGAGGAAGAGGTAGAAAAATATGTGTGAGAAAGAATGAGAGGGGGACAGGCCTAGGCGAAAGGGAGCCTGCTTTCTATTTTCTCCCATCAATTAAAGGCATCTGGAGTGCCCTTTCGCCACTCTGAAGCGAGTTAACTCCCCCCCCCCATCTCTCTTGACTCAGTTTCTTTCCCTCTTGCACATTCACACGGGAGAGAAAAGATATATCCTTGCACAGATACAAAAGATACAAATTGTAGAGATACCATCTCTAAAATCAGGTCACTAAATAATGAGCAACACTAAAAAACAAGGGAATTCCAGATAGGAAACAATCAGGGCCAGCTAACACCTCCCAACAAAGGATTCCCCCAGGCAGCAACCAGCCAGGCTTTGAAGCTGTGATGCCATTAAATGCTAATCAAGGTGGCCATTTGCAACATTCACACTTGCTTCAAGCACACAAGAGTTCTTTCTCCCACACTGGACCTTCCACAGATATATAAACCTCACTTGCCTGGTTTCCAACAGAACTCACAACTGCTAAGAATGCCTGCCATAGATGTGGGTGAAATGTCAGGAGAGAATGCTACAAGTGCGATAGGCTTTAACTAGGTTCGTGTGACATTACATACAGTTAAGAACTATGCCAGTGTTTCTCAGCCTGGGGATCGGGAACCCTGGGGTTAGGGTCACAATGGGGTGTCAGAGGGGTCACCAATTTTCTCTAGGTCATGGGGGTTATGTGTGGGAAGTTTGGTTCAATTCAATCGTTGGTGGGGTTCAGAATTCTCATTGATTGTAGGTGAACTATAAATCCCAGCAACTACAACGCCCAAATGACAAAATCAATCCCGCCCCCAAAACCCCAGCAGTATTCAAATTTGGGCGTATCAAGTATTTGTGCCCAATTTGGTCCAGTGAATGAAAATACATCCTGCATATTTACATTACAGCTACGTCTGTGACTAGGATTTATATCTCCCACCAATCTGGTGGCAATCAGGGCCAGCTGATTGCCTCCCAACAAAGGATTCCCCCAGGCAGCAACCAGCCAGGCTTTGAAGCTGCAAGGCCATTCAATGCTAATCAAAGTGGCCAATGGCAACATTCACACTTGCCTTAGGCAGACAAGAGTTCTTTCTTCCACCCTGGACCTTCCACAGATACATAAACCTTACTTGCCTAGTTTCCAACAGACTTCAAAACCTCTGAGGATGCCTGCCATGGATGTGGGCGAAACGTCAGGAGAGAGTGCTTCTGGAACATGGCCAGACAGCCCGGAAAACTCACAGCAACCCAGTGATTCCGGCCATGAAAGCCTTCTTCACACACATATATTTTATTCAAGAAAATAATAACTAAAAAATAATAATACAACAGAGATGGTGGATAGAGAAATCAAGCCACTACCACCACCACGTTTTGGGGGTGTGTGTTTCTATCTCCTGCCCACTTTTCCCAAGGTGGGAGGATTGACTGGCTGCGGGGTGGCCGAGGGAGGAGGCAAACCGCGCCTTCTCTCTCTCTCTCTCTCTCTCTCTCTCCTGAGGCCGCCCCGTTTGCCTTGGCCTCCCCGCCCTTTCTTTCCCCCTTCTCCTTCTCAAAAGGAAGAGGGAGGCCACCGAGGAGGAGATGGGAGAGGAAGCCAAGAAGTGGAGCAGGGCTTGAGCTGGTCCTCTTTTTCCCATCCCAAAAGGACGCCAAAGCCGCCCTCTTTCCCAAGTGGAGGCTCTGAAGCCAGGACCTTCCTTCCCTTTGGGTTTGGCTCGGCTTGTTTGGGAGGGGATGGTGCTTCTGGTGCTGCTGCTGGTGGTGGTGGGCTGGGCTCCGGGCTGGGCGCGGGGCGCCTCGTGCGAGCCGGTGCGCCTCCCGCTCTGCCAGTCCTTGCCCTGGAACATGACCAAGATGCCCAACCACCTGCACCACAGCACCCAGGCCAACGCCATCCTGGCCATCGAGCAGTTCGAGGGCCTGCTGGGCATCCACTGCAGCGCCGACCTGCTCTTCTTCCTCTGCGCCATGTACGCGCCCATCTGCACCATCGACTTCCAGCACGAGCCCATCAAGCCCTGCAAGTCGGTCTGCGAGCGGGCGCGCGCCGGGTGCGAGCCCGTCCTCCGCAAGTACGGACACGCCTGGCCAGACAGCCTGGCCTGCGAGGAGCTGCCCGTCTACGACCGCGGCGTCTGCATCTCCCCCGAGGCCATCGTCACCGCCGAAGGGGCCGGTAAGTCGCTCACTGAGTCCCTCCCTCTAGCATAGGCCAGGAGAGCCGTGGACTAGGGCTTCCCCACTCCCCAGGGTCCTCACTCTCTCCAAAGGGTCTTGGAACTTACAGTTTAGGCCAGGAGAGCTGTAGGCTAGGACTTCCCACTTCCCAATATCCTCACTCTCTCCAAGGGTCTTGGAACATAGTTTAGGCTAAGACAGCTGTGGACAAGGACTTCCCCACTCCCCAGGGTCCTCACTCTCTCCAAAGGGTCTTGGAACTTATAGTTTAGACCAGGAGAGATGTGGGCTAGGACTTATCCACTCCTTAGGGTCCTCACTCTCCCCAAAGAGTCTTGGAACTTATAGTTTAGGCCAGGAGAGTTGTAGGCTAGGACTTCCCCACTCCCCAGGATACTCACTCTCTCCAAAGGGTCTTGGAACTTATAGCTTAGGCCAGGAGAGCTGTGGGCTACAACTTCCCCACTCCCCAGGGTCCTCACTCTCTCCAAAGGTTCTTGCAACTTATAGTTTAGGCCAGGAGAGATGTAAGCTACAACTTCCCCACTCCTCAGAGTCCTCACTCTCTCAAAAGGGTCTTGGAACTTATAGTTTAGGCCAGGAGAGCTGTGGGCTAGGACTTCCCCACTCCTCAGGGTCCTCACTCTCTCCAAAGGGTCTTGGAACTTATAGTTTAGGCTAGGAGAGCTGTGGGCTAGGGCTTCTCCACTCCCCAGGATGCCCACTCTCTCCAATAGGTCTTGGAACTTATAGTTTAGGCCAGAAGAATTGTAGGCTAGGATTTCCTCAGTCCCCAGGATGCTCACTCTCTCCAAAGGGTCTTAGAACTTATAGTTTAGGCTAGGAGAGCTGTGGGCTAGGGCGTCTCCACTCCCCAGGATGCCCACTCTCTCCAATAGGTCTTGGAACTTATAGTTTAGGCCAGAAGAATTGTAGGCTAGGATTTCCTCACTCCCCAGCATCCTCACTCTCTCCAATGGGTCTTGGAACTTGGAGGGTCAGTTGAGGGTTTCTCCTAAGCCAGTGGTTCTCAACCTGAGGTCCCCAGATGTTTTTGGCCTACAACTCCCAAAAATCCTAGCTGTTAGGATTTCTGGGAGTTGAAGGCCAAAAACATCTGGGGACCCCAGGTTGAGAAGTTGAGAACCATTGACCTTGAGTTTTGGAGTTGTCGTTCACTTACATCCAGGGAGTACTGCGGATTCAAACAATGACAGATCCAGACCAAAGTTGGCATGAATAACCAATATGCCAGTGGTTCTCAACCTGTGGAACCTCACGTGTTTTGGTCTACAATGCCCAGAAATCCCAGCCCATTTACCAGCTGTTAGAATTTCTGGGAGTTGAAGGCCAAAATATCCAGGGACCCACAGGTTGAGAACCACAGATTTAGGAAGACAGCCACAAAATTTGGTCTAGGTCTCCCAAGCTCACAATTATCAATCTGTTAAAGAGGTCTTGGAACATCCTGGAGATTGTTACATTTGCTTCTTTCCGCAGCCCACAAAATTAGTTCTAGCTCCTTCAAATTTCCAATTGTAAATCTGTCAGGGATATTAGGGCATCTTAGAGAATAGTTGAGGGTTTCTCCTGCCCATTCATACATCCCACATATTCTGCTCAAGGTCTTTCAAATTCCCAAAAGAAAATTTCTCAGAGGAATCTTGGCACTCCTTGGAGACTTAAGTCTTCCTCCTGCTCCCTCCCACAACCCACAAAATTAGCTGCAGATTGCCCAAATCCTCAAGTATAACTCTGTCAAAGGGATCTTAATGTATTTTGGAGAATAAGAAGAGTAGTCCAACTGAAGTCTTCTGACTCCCTTGCAACACCTTTAGCAGCCTGCCCCTCCAATGATGCTTTCTTCATCTGTATCTCCATTTTGGGCCCCTTCCACACCTCAAATCTAACTCTGTTAGAGGCTCCTACCATCCCAAACTCCATGAAATGAGCTTTAGCTCTCTCAAGCTCCCAACTATAAGTCTGTCAAAGGGATCTTGGAGCATCTGGGGAAACTGAGTGTTTCTTCTATACCCCCTCCCCCCACTCTCCACAAAAGTAGCACTAGATCACCCATGTTCTCAAGTATTAATCTGTCAAAGAGATCTTGGAGCACCTTGGAAATTGCGTGTTTCTCATGACGCTTCCCATACTCGACAACATTAGCTCTAGATCTCCAAATTCTTAGAGCATTTTAGAGAATAAGAGCAGTAGTTTAACTAGAGAGCCTTCTAATTACTTCAAAGCTCCTTGGGCCCCCAACCTTTCATATCTACAGTTCCCTTTGGGTCTCCTCCACACTTGAAGTCTAGGTTTGTCAGGGGCTCCTGCCACCCCACACCCCACAAAATGAGCTCTAGCCCTCCCAAGCTCCCAACGATAAATATGTGAAAGTGAACTTGGAGCATTCTGGAGACTCTGTGTTTCTTTGTATCCTTCCCACACCCCACAAAATTAGTTCTAAATCTTCAAAAGTCCCAATTGCTAAAGGGGTCTTGGAATATTTTGGAGAATACTCCAAACTAGGTTCACCTAGAGAGCCATTGATCTAATTAATTAAGCCTTCTGACTACTTCAGGACTTCGTTGTCCTCTCTGAGGCCCCTTCCACACAGTTGTATAAAATCCACATTGACCTGGATTATATGGCAGTGTGGACTCAGATAATCCAGTTCAAAGCTGATATTGTGGATTATCTGCCTTAATATTCTGGGTTATATGTGTGGAAAGGCCCTGAGGCTCCCCAGTCTCCCCCTCTGTCAGTCCTATCATCTGTATCTTCAATCTCTTTTGAGTCCCCTCCAGACTATGGCTCTTACATCTGTCAAAATCTCCGGCCCCCTCCAGCTCTCCACAAAATTAGCCCCAAGAGTTCCAAAGTGGCAGCTATAAATCTGTCAGAGGGATCTTGTAGCACCTTGGAGACTAATTGACCCCTCCTACTCCCCACAAATTAGCTCTAGATCTTTCAAATTGTAACTATAAATCTGTCAAAGGGATCTTGTAGCACCTTGGAAACTACTTGAGAGTTTCTCCTGCCCACACTGATGACCCACACATTCTTCTCTAGGTCACCTGTCACTTTACAGTGACCCCACTAAGTGTAGAAGTGTAGTTGTAGTGGTTTGACTATTGGACCGTCACTTTGTAGATCAGGGTTCAAGTTCCCATGGGGTGACCTTGGGCAAGCCAAACTCTGAATGTCTCAATGGCAACCCCCATTAGGTTTGTCTAATCTTGCTCAGAATAGTGTGTGATGGGTTTGGCTTTGCGTTGCCATAAATCAGAAGCAACCCAAAGAAAAATAAAAACAAACCCCACGGTAACTGTCAGTTTGTCCTGTCATTGCCACTTCCCACATTACCCACTTTAGCTTTACCCAAGCTCCAGTTCGGTCCCCATCCCATAGTGTATTTTGAGGGTCCCAAATTCCCAACACTAAGACCCTTTCTACACTGCCATATAAATACAGATTATCTGCTTTGAACTGGATAATCTTCAAAAGGGTCTTTCAGTGTTCTTCAAAAGGGTCTTTCAGTTTCTCCTTCATTCTGCCTAACACACACCCATTTTCAGTGTTCTTATTAGCCATCACTTTACTAGATTCCTAATAAAGCCATCATTTTCCAGTTGCTGCACCATTTGGACAGTAGATCTGCACCATTGTGGCAATCCCAACTTCAAATCCCTGTGAGATTGTGGCCTCCAGGAATGTTTCAAATTGTTCTCCTTCATGTTTCCATCCTAGCAAACTTAGCCAAAAAAGGCAGGTCAGCCCTTTTGTGAGGTAGAGGGAGGTCACTGCCTCAAGTCGCAAATATTGGTTTTGTGGTGGGTGGTGTTGGTGGACAGAGTTGGTGTGTATCACATGGTGGTAGGTGTTCAGTCTAAATTGGACACTTTTCATCAGATATTGCTTTGGAAAATACTAGGCTGTCATTAAATCGCTTGTCCTGTTGTCTTTTGTAAGAGGAGAAATCGTCTTGACATTCACCTTGGATAGTGAAGTGTCATAGTTGGGCCTCTCATAAGAGTTATGCAATAAGTTGGCTTTTTCAATTGATTGCATTTTCTCTATCAACCTGCTTCTTTTATTATTATTATTATTATTATTATTATTATTATTAATTATTATTAATAATAACAATTAATGAGTACAGATGGTCCCAGTGGTAATCGGCACACTGGTTGCCGTGCCAAAAGATCTCAGCCAGCATTTGGAAACAATAAACATTGACAAAATCATGATTTGTCAACTGGAAAAGTCCACCTTACTTGGATCTGCAGGCATCATTCGAAAATACATCACACAGTCCTAGACACTTGGGAAGTGTTCAACTTGTGATTTTGTGATACAAAATCCAGCATATTTGTTTGCTGTGTTATACTGTGTTTTTGTGTCAGTAAAAATAATATACTTTATGTATATTCTGCTTTATCTCCCCGGAGGGACTCAGAGTTTACATATATAAGGCAACAAACAGCACCTTTTTACACAGTGTACAACAACATACAATACACAGACAGACGTAAAGGGTTTCCTCTTTCCATCTCTGGCATCTGGAGGCAATGCTCAACTCTGGCCATGGGGAGGTGCTCTTGTTTCATTTTTCCATGCCGAGGACCCTGTTTCCATAGACTTTCTCTGATTGTCACTGGCATGTCTGCATGGGACGCCCTTTTACCTCTATGCCAAGTCAGTACCTATTGATCTACTCACATGACATGCTTTCAAACTGCTAGGTAGGCAGAAGCTAGGGCTGACAGCTGGGAGCTCACCTCAACTTGTGGCTTTGAACTGCTAACTCTCTGGTCAGCAGATTTTTTGCAGCTAGCGGTTTAACCGCTGTGCTAGTGTGGCCCCAAAGTTGAACCAAACGTCCTCACCTCAGATGACCCCAAAGCACAAAGAAGCCACTTCTAGTTTCTCTTTTTTTACTGGTATCAACACAGATTTTCAGAAAGAAACCAACAAGTAAACGATTCAAAGGCATAATTG